GACTTTTTGTTACCTAATTTTAATTAATTAATCAGTTATCTAATTAATTTTTCCAAATTTCATAAAATTCAAATATTTTCCATGTTAAAAATGACATTTTATTTGTGAATTTTGTAATTTTCTTTTGTCGTAATTAAAATTTTCGTAATTTTTCTGTAATTCCCATATACTTTCTGTGAATCCCTTGATTTTTTGTAATTTTTCAAATTCCATAATTATCAAGAAATAAAACTCGTAGTCTTTTCCACAATACTTTATATAAAATTCAGTATTGAATTTTCATTATTATGAGTACATGTTTCGGGTATCAATATCCATCTTCAGCTCTAAAAATTAAATAAACTGATAATAGTTTGAGGAAAACATTTTTTGGCTAACAGTAATTCCTAAATACAAGATGTGGAATAATTCAACATACCTTTTTGTTTTATTAAACCAATGGAGAAGACAACGAGTTTTTACTTCTTGATATTTAAGAAGCTCCACAGTGAGGAAAATGGACTATTTTTTCAATTCCATAATTTACTTAAATGTCTTTAATTTTCTCATTCCAGTATCTTCTAAGATTGGCTTTATTCCTTTTATTACAGAAATTTTCAATAAAATCAAAGTCCAAGAAAAAAATAGGAAACAGCGAGAGAAGAAACTTGAGAAAAATTGAGAAAATCCAGAAAAAAATTAGAAAAAGTGAGAAAAATTTGAGAAAATTATTCGAGATTTCCTATTATTGTTTCATGTAGAAATTGCTTAGCATAATTTTATCTCAGGAACTATAAGTGCACATGAGCTGAAATTTCCAGGGATTGTAGTCCCTTTATTGAGATAAGATTCAGTGAAAACTTTAGCTTTCTATCTATAATAGAAAAAAAGTTATGCCCTTCCAAATTTGCCAATGAATTCTCTACGAACCAATCAAAAGCTGGGAAAATTACAAAAAATTGAATTTCAAAGCCAATCAAGAACCGGGAATATTCAAAGCCGAAATCTATGAAAAACGGCACTCACAAAAATTGAAAAATTGATAAATCACCCCAAATTGCTTAACACGATTTTATCTCAGGAACTATAAGTGCAAAAGAGCCGAAATTTTCAAGGATTGTAGTCCTTTTATTGAGATAAGATTCAGTGAAAATTTCAGCTTTCTATCCCCAATAGAAAAAAAGCTATGACCTTTCAAAGTTTTCCAAAATCTAAATCCTAAGGTAGCTACCTTCTTAGGCTGTGCCAATTTAGAACATTTATAAGCCTTTTACGTCACTCTAGAACACTGTAGAATACTCAAACTTAGAACTTTCTTAGAAGAAGCATGAGAAGACTTTCAATTTCTCTTACGCCTACTTGCAATAAATTTAAATTGTTACAAATATTTTAAAATATTCCGGAATCATCCAGAGTTCTCAGAATCATTCTAGAACATTCCAGATCACGTTTAAATTTCCAGCAATATTTTAGAGCGTTCCAAGGATGGGATCACGACGAGTAGAATTCTACTTTCATGACGTCACCCGCGACCTATTTATCACGTACAGTACAGACGATAATGATAGTTGCTAGGCAACCTGACGTCATGAAAGTAGAATTCTAGTAAAATTTTACTTGACGTGATCCCAGCCCTGGACACATATACTTGACATTTTTGAAAACACTCTGGAACTGATATAACTTTTAGAGCACCTTGAGATTCTTGAGAAACTGATTTCTGATAGTTTTCAGACGTTCCAAAAGCATTACAGAATCAATTGAAAACTAGAGAAAATATTTTAGAATGCTACAGGACTGTGCCAATTTAGAACATTTATTCACGTTACTCTATAGAGCACTGTAGAATAAACTTAGAATTTTGATAAACTTCAGAAGACTTTCAATTCTTTTTAGGCCTATTTGTAATAAATTTTAATTTTTAGATATATTTTAAAATACTCCGAATCATTAATTAGAGCTTTCAGAACCATCCTAGAATGACTTTCAGCAAAAATTTAGAACGTTCAAGAACAGTTTACAAATGATTTAAATTTCAACTGAGAACTTTCAAAACACCTGAAAATCGTTACTATAATATTTCAGAACCAAATTGTAACCTTCATAAGCATATATTATTAGAACGTTCTAAAACACTTCTTAAATTTATTTAAAACTTCCATGAGTATCAAAGAACGTTCCAGATTGTTTGGGATATTTCTGATATCTTCTAGAATGTTCCAACGCTTGAAAAGCATTGTAGATCTAAGTTGAAACTTTTGATTTACGCTAGTGTCAATTTAGATCATCAAAATCGCTAGAATCCTTTAGAAGAAATTTAGAACTTTGATGAGCTTCAGAAAACTTTCGAGTCAATTTTCAATTTTCTCACGTAGAAATTGGAGAATCATTTTAAAAAACTTTCAGCAACATTTTGGAAAACTAGAAAAACTGTTAAGTTTAAAACCAAATTAAAATTATCAGGAACATTTTAGAAAATTTCTGATATTTTTTAGCCTCTCAAAAGTATTATAGAATCAATATGAAACTTTAGAACACTCTACAATACGCTGGTGCCACATTAGAGCATCTATAATCATGTTAAATTGCTCTAGAACACTTTAGAAGAAGGTTAGGACTTTGATAAGCTCCAGGGCTGGAACTCAATAACGTATAGAGAGATTTTCTCCATCTCTATTGACGTCTTCTCTCTATTGATTTTGACAAGAGATAAGAAGACAGCAAGTGCCATATCGATAAGGATAGGTACAAAGACCTCTATCCGTTACAGAGTTCCAGCCCAGGAGACTTGCAATTACTTATTCAATTCAGAATTTTAAGAAAAGCTCCAGTTTTCCGCACTTTCTACAACATTTTAGATGACTTGAGCTACTGTAAAGGTTAAATGCAAATTAAGATTTTTAGGGACTTTTTTGGAATGTTCCAGAATACTTTTCAAATGATTTGTAACTTTTTGGAAACTACAAACGAGTGAGAACTCTCAGGCACAGCTTAAAAATCGTTACCTCACACTTTAAAACGAACCTAAAATCTTTATAGAACATTCTAAAATACCTGTGAACTTGTGTCCAGAAAATTTCAATAGTTCATAAGCATTACAGAAATAATTTGAAATTTTAGAACCAATTTTTTGCTGGTGCCAAATTGGAATATCTATTATAATAATTTTAGATCGCTCTAGAACACAGAAAAGAACTTTGATAAGCTCTAGGACATTTCGAGTTACTCCAATTTTCCCATTTAGAATTTCTAGAAACTCTCAAGAACACCTTTCAAAATATCTCGCACTTTCTGCAACATATCTAGGAAAGTTTGAAGATTTGAAGCCGAAATCTATGAAAAAAGGCACTCGGAATAATTGAAAAATTGATAAATCACCCCAAATTGCTTCACACGATTTTATATTAGGAACTATAAGTGCAAATGAGCCGAAATTTGCAGGGATTGTAGTCCCTTTATTAAGATAAGATTCAGTGAAAACCTCAGCTTTCTATCTATAATAGAAAAAAAGTTATGCCCTTCCAAAGTTTTCGAAAATCTAAATCATAAGGTTCTTACTAAAACGATGAAATTTCAATTTTTTTTTTTGTTGAGATTTTGAATCCCAATGGTCAATCAACAGGCCCCAAACTCCATACACTAAATTATTTTCAGATTTGAATCCGAAATCTATGAAAATAGGCACTCAGAAAAATTGAAAAATTGATAAATCACCTCAAATTGCTTAACACGATTTTATCTCAGGAACTATAAGTGCAAATGAGCTGAAATTTACAGGGATTGTAGTCCGTTTATTGAGATAAGATTCAGTGAAAACTTCAGCTTTCTATCTATAATAGAAAAAAAGTTATGCCCTACCAAAGCTTTCGAAAATCTAAATCATCAATTTTGTGATATTTTTTTTCTGCAATAAATTCTCGTAATTTTTCTGTAATTCCCATAATTTTTTGTAAATCCCTTGATTTTCCGTAATTTTTGCAAATTCCATAAGAAACAGAGAAAAATTGAGAAAATCGTTCAGGAAAATACAAAGAAACAAAAAAGATTCCATAGAAAAATTGAGAAAAATTTGAAAAAATTATTCAAGATTTTTTTTATTTAGTAATTCAAGAGCCTGGAATAGATAAAAATTGACATAAAAGGAAAATGAAAAAGTCAAAAACACTAATATATTATTATATCTTTTTTCCATCATATTCCAGGTTACTCCTTGGTACTTCTTATAAAATCGCACTTACCGCAAATCAAAAAAACTATATCCACTATCAAGTACCTGCTTGGTGGTACCGCGCGAAGTTACTAACAACAAAAACCAAGGCAATCTGCTTGCGTTCTCGGCGGACTAACGAAAGCGACTGCCGATGGACAAATTCGGTGGTACCCACTAATTCAGTAAAATCATAATCGAATTTTCATTATTTTTGTTCCTTTTCAATTACCGATCGCGAAAAACCATCAAACAACTAAAATGTGTGTTAAGACAAAGTGAAATTGCAACCAAAGAAAATAATTAAAAAAAAAAAAAAAAAACGAATGTCGTGCGTACCAACTATGTATTTGAGTTTCACATTTTCATTTTATATATAAGGCTAATTTAAGGCCAAGTTCTTCTCGTCTCCACTTGAGAGAGGTTTGATGGCTGCTGAACAAAAATGCAACTGGTTTTTAAGTTGATGTGCAATTCTCGTTGCATAATTTTTCTTTTTAACAGTGACTTTCCCTTTGATTTTAGGACATAATTATTGACCTTACTACATTAACAAGAGATTTTTTAATAATTAAATTTTCTTCAGATTCAAATAATCTTATATATGTACAACAAAGAAGTAGCAATCAATTAATCAATATATCATCATCAAATAGTCGTTATTATTTCAATATAAACTAATATGTACATAGTTATTTATTGCCGTCATATACCGGAACAAGTTATGCGAACATTAAACGATGGTTTAAGGTCGCAAATAATTAGCTGGTTGACACTCAAATGGCTAATTTAAATTATCATTAACTATAAGTACCTATATAGGTATTTCCTTCAAAGCTACAATCCTTTCTCTTCAAAAAAATAATCCTCACGGATTTTCACTTAAAAAACCGATAATACGTATGTAAGTACTGGCGTACTGGCACCGAAAATAATACCGTTCTCTTCGCATCTACCGATCGAATAGTACTGACCGCATTACCAATAATAAACCAGATTTCAGATTTTCCACAACAAGTATTTTGCTTGCATTCTTGTCCCTGGTGGAAGGACAATCGATGCCTCCTGGATGAAAACGGGATCGATAATTTGAAAAGGGGACGGTGACGTTGCCAGATTGGACAATAAGTTTTTGAGACAAAATTGTATTATTGATTTAAAACTTTGAAATTGAAGATTCTATTATAGGAATTGGAAATCTTTTGCAGAAACTTTTAATAGGTTTCACAAAGCTTCCATAATTAAAGAATCATATTTAGCACATTCTTTAAAAAACTATTAGGTAGATAATTCCTAATGAGTTTTCATAGCTTTCGCAATGTATTTAATGTTGTTGCTTTACCACATTTTTCAAACCTTTTCTTCCTTTAAACTACTTCAAATAGTTTGGTGGTTTGAAGGCACATTTTTTAGAATTGATGAGGAATATCTTGAAATTCTAGAAGTTTTCAGACAATGGCGGCTCGTCAGAGGAGGCAGGCTAAGCCTCCCCCAAAAAATTGAAAAGTCAATCTCAGTTTTTTATTCTTGATTCCTTAATAAAATAATAATTCACAAATTACACTTTCCAAATTTCGATATTCCAATTAAATTTAGAAGAATCTAGGACACTATAGGCCCAACTAGAGGGGTGCTTGGGGGTGCTAAGCACCCCTAAAGCAAAAATTAGCACTCCCATTCGGCTTCCCACCATAGCACTACCTACAGTGGCACTACCTAAAACTAATATAAAAAATCAGTGCAACCAAATTATTTATTTTTTTTGTACTTTTTGTACTTAGGTACTTACATCATCGATGACGTCATAATTTAGAAATCTTAGATTTTACTATCACTTCTCCGCGATTCTAAATTCACTTTTCCGCGATTGTAAACCCACTTTTCCGCAAATATTACCTCATTTTTCCGCGATTCTTATCTCACTTTTTCACGAATTCACACTCACTTTTTTTGAAATGTTTGACTCATTTTTTTTTGCGATTTTTGACCCACTTTTTTGCAATTTTGTCTTCACTTTTTTGCGGTTTTTGGCTCTTTTTAAGATTTTTGACTCTCTTTTTTGCGAATTTGTCCTTACTTTTTTTGCGATTTAGCCTCACTTTTTTGCAATTTCACCCTCACTTTTTTGCCCCTCACTCCTCGGCGATTACAAACTTCATCCTCATTTTTCCGCGATTCTTACCTCATTTTCCCGCGATTGTTTCCCTACTTTCCGCGATTTTATCTTCACTTTTCCGCGAATTTGACCTCACTTTTTTTGTGATTTTTGAATAATTTTTTTTTGCAATTTTTGACTAATTTTTTTTGCGATTTTACCATCTCTTACCGCGATTCTAAATCCACTTTTTCGCGATTGTAAACCCACTTTTCTGTAAATATTATCTCATTTTCCGCGATTCTTGTCTCACTTTTTTTTTGCGATGTTATCCTCACTTTTCCGCGATTTCTATTTCATTCTCCGCGATTTTATCCTCACTTTTCGTGACTTTATCCTCATTTTTCCGTGAGTCTCATGTTACTTTTCCGCGAGTTTAAACTCATTTTTTTTGAAATTTTTGACTCATTTTTTTTGCGATTTTTGACTCTTTTTTTTTGCGATTTTATCATCACTTTCCGCGATTTTATCCTCATTTCAAAATTACTAGAATAGGTAACGATAATTTTTGAAAAGTTACGAAAAATTACGGGAATTACGTTAAAGTACGTAAAATATGAAAAATTATGAGAATTGCAAACATTTACGAGAATTACGGAACATGACGAGAATCACGGAATAACAAAAAATTGCGGGAATTACAAAAATTATGGGAATTGCCAAATATTACACAAAAGAATTACGAAGTTACTCCAAAATTACGGCAATTATTCAAATATAACTAATTTTTAAAAAGTTACGAAAGCTAACAAGACAAATTACGGGAATTACGAAAAATAATGATAATTTTAAAAATTTACAGAACCCAGTAAAATGACGGAAATGACGAAAATTTACAGGAATTATGTGAAATTATAAAAATTACGGGAACTGAGAAAAATACGAAAAACTACGAAAATTACAAAAATTACGGGTATTACGAAATATTACGGGAAAGAATTACAAAGTTATTTCAAAATTACGTGAATTACGGTAATTCCCAAAATAACGGAAATCACAAGTTTTTGAAATTACGAAAATTACAATAACCTAGGGAAAATTAGAAAATTCCGATTTTTTTTGGAAATTAGGAAAATTGAAAATTAAAAAATTGAAAATACAAATAATTACTGGAATTACGAAAACATCACGATGGGAAAAGCGCGAAAAATTGCGGAAATAACGAAAATTAACAAGTTTTCCAAAAATTGAAAAAAATAAGGGGGAATTAGAAAATAACAAGAATTATCTGAGATATGACAGGAATTAAAAAATTTCGAAAATCCCCAAAAAAAAAATACGGAAATTACCAACTTTCGAAAATTTCAAAAACTTAGGGGGAATTATAAAACTAACGGATTTTTTTTGAGACATTACGGAAATTAAAAAATTACGAAAATAATGGGAATTACGAAAATTTCGAGTTTTTCGAAAATTGTAAAAACTAAGGGGGTATTATGAAAATAACGAGAATTATCTAAGAAATGACAGGAATTACAAAATTTCGATAATTACCAAAATAAAATACGAAAATTACATGTTTTCGGAATTATCAAAATAACAAATTTTTCTGAGAAATTACAGGAATTAACAAATTACGGAAATCTGAAAACTACAGGAATTATTCAAAAATTATGAAAAATACGAAAAAATCACGGGAATTAAAAAAATTGTGACAATTTTCAAAAAATTACGAAAATAACAAGAACTACAAAAAGTTACGGGATTCACGAATTTTCCGAAAATTGCAAAAACTAAGGAGGAATTATGAAATTAACGAGAATTTTTTGAGAAATGACGGAAATTTGAGAATTTCCGAAAATTCCAAGAAAAAAAAAATACGGGAATTACCAATTTTTGAGAATCACAACAAACTGGGGGCGAATTATAAAGATAACGGAGTTTTTTGAGAAATTACGGGAATTACAAAATTACGAAAATTTGAGAAACTACAGGAAATATAAAAATTGAAAGAAATAAGAAAAAATCACGGGTACTGCGAAAAAATTACGATAATTTTTGGAAAGTTACGGAATTTATGAAAAAGTTACGGGAATTACGAAAATTACGAGTTTTCCAAGAATTGCAATGACTAAGGAAGAATTATAGAAATAGGGAGAATTATCTGAGAAATTACGGAAATAATGAAAATTCACAAAAAAAAAAAAAATGAAAATTACGGGAATTACGAATTTTTGAAAGTAACAAAAACTTAGAGGGAATTATAAAATAAGTAACTGAATATTTTGAGAAATTACAGAAATTAAAAAATTACGAAAATCTGAGAAACAACAGGAATTATTCAAAAATTACGGGAATTACAGAAAAATTACGATGAATTTTGGAAAGTTACGAAAAATTAAGGAACTTATGAAAAAGTTATGGGAATTACGAAAATTAGGAGTTTTTCGAAAATTGCAAAAACTAAGGAAAAATTATAAAAATAACGAAATTTATTTGAGAAATAACGGCTTTCAACAATTTTTTTTCGCAATTTCACCTTCACTTTTCCGCAATTTCAAAGTTCAAACTCACTTTCTCGCAGTTTCAACAAAGTTTTCCGCGAATTTTGCCTCACTTTTCCGTTATTCTTGCCTCATTTTTCAATAAGTATAACCTCACTTTTCCGCGATTTTCGCCTCACATTTCCGCAATTATTTCAACCTAATTTTTCCAAAATCTTTACTTTTGTTTTTCGTATTTATAACCTCATTTTTTCTCGATTATAACCTGGCTTTTCCGCCATTTTTACTCAACTTTTTCGCAATTCCAACATTTCCAACCTCATTTTTCTGTAATTTTTACTTCTATTTTTCGTAATTCCGACGTCACTTTCTTGCGATTTTGACACTCACTTTTTCGCAATTTTTGAAAAGTTACGGAAAATTGCAGGAATTACGAAAAATTACTGGAATTATAAAAATAAAGATAATTATAAAAATTACAAAAATTATAGGAATTACAAAAGTCACGAATTTTTGAAATTATGAAAATTACAAAACTTGGGGGGGAATTTAAAAATACATAATGAAGTTTTTAAAAAAATTAGGAGAATTAAAAATGGGTACAAAAAATTACGGGAATTACGAAAACATTATGATTTTTGAAGTTATGGGAAAATTACGAAAAAGTTACGGGTGAATTACGAAAATTATGAGTTTTTCGAAAATGCAAAAACTAAGGAAAAATTGATTTTTTTAAGCAAAATTCATTTTCTTACATTTTATTTTTTTTCTAGAAAACTGGCAAAAGGATAATTGTGAAAATTTTCCAGAAAAAAGAGGAAAATGAGGATCTCATTAAAGCAAAATTTCAAAATTTTCCAGTGAAAAATCACTTCAGGAAAAATTCTGGAAAATTGACTTATTTAAGCAAAATTAAGGAAAATTCATCCTCTCACATTTCAATTTATTTCTGGTAAAGTAATAAAGCAAAACTTGTGAAATTTTTCCAGGAAAAAAAAGAAAATGAGGAGCTTATTATAGGAAAATTTCAAAATTTTCCAGTGAAAAATCACTCCAGGCGAAGTTTTGGAAAACTGACTTTTAAGCAAAATTCATTCTTTTAATTTTAATTTTTTTCTGGAAAACTGACAGAAAGAAAATTTCAAAATTTTCCAGTGGAAAATCACTACAGGAAAAATTCTTAAAAATTGACTTTTTCAAGTAAAATTAAGAAAAATTCATCCTTTCACATTTCAAAATGGTGCTGCAGCACCCCTTTAATTTGGAGCCTAGTTGCGCTTATGGCAATTGGATTTCAAAGTTGACTTTTAGTCCAAATTTTATCAAAATTTTCAAACTCGATTTTCTCGAAAACCATAAAAGCTAGCGATTTTAACTTAATACCATTTTGAAGCCCTTGTCAAGAGTTATATTTCCTGAAAATTTTAATTCAAAATCTTTAATA